TTTTTATAGTATAATTTCCAAGAAAAGTACCACTTTTTGATGTAGGAGCAATACAATTTTTAAATAAATAAAAGTGAACTGAGACAACGTTTAATAATCTAATATATGACAATGTTTCTGTCATTTTTCACAGGAAGTCACAACAACCAAACAGTGAAACAGTCAATGCATCTTCAAACATTTCTAGACCTATCCATGGGGCATACCTCACATTCGTGTGCATGGTAAATTCTTAATTATTCCTGGCTTCGGTTAATCCACGACAGGTTTGGTTGTATAATGTATGTCACCCCTGGGTTTTGAGGCCATGAATTATAAATGGATGTAGCAACATCAAGCTGCGACAGCCACAGGCCTGTCAGGGTGTTTTCTCCTCTGTCACTTCCTCCCTCTTAATTTTCCATCTCCATCAAACATGGCTTAACAATGTTTCAACTGTCAACATTCCGTATCTTGAGCTCATGTGTCCAGTCACATGAGCTCTGCTCAGAGCATGCATTTGTGTTTACAAGGAGGGGGGAGGGGAGTAGCCAGTGACCAACTTAACTGATGAAGCATGTGATCTCTTTAAAGAGATGCCTTAAAACTCAACATCAGAGCAAGTTCAGACTCAAAGACAAACACTGTATAAGTAAGTGTGTTGATGGGTTTACACTACAAACAGCAGCTGTTTTGGCTAGCAGTAGCACTTCTGGTGCAGCCTGGGGCACTTCCTGCAGGAATATCGTAATATTTATGACAAAACAGCAGTGTAACAGGAAACTGACAATGCTGAAAAGGTTTAGAAAATAGTGTCCACATGAATTAAACTTCTCAGATTTAGGCGTTCGAACAATAGCGACCCACTTTGGTCTTCAGCCGTTTATACGCGTCAAACCCTTCAGATGTTTACCTGTGTCTTGACCCTCAAAAATCTGTAATTAATAATCAATACAATGGGGAGGGGTGTCTTCAAGCAGACAGAACGTGGGGCGGAGATAGCAGTGTTTGCAACGCAAAGGAGCAGGGAAAGGAGGACAAGAACTTATTTCTAGCAGCAGAGTGGGATGGGAGATGGCTATTTGATTGTATTTATTGTTTTTTATGTCAAACAGGCTCTCAGATATAAAAAATGTTTGTTTTTTTATCTGTGAGATTAATCTTTGCGTCCGTATACCTGAAAAATGGGGGGAAATCCGTGTAATTTACAATTTGTACAAGCTGGCATGTATTCCAATCTGCTCGTCAGTCTGGTCAGAATTACACCATTTTGTCCAAATTGAGGTCATTTAATGAGCTGTAACACATTTTTGTTTGTAACCGTTCCACAGAACCCCACTACAAAAGATGTGAACAACCTTTTCACATGTAAATGCTATCYCCTAATAGCTTATGCCCACAAAAGCAGCTACACAAACACCCGTTTACGTGAAGCTCCCTTGGACATGGTTCATTTTTACCCTGTTAAATATTCAAAGTGAATATTTAACCTAACCCTTCAAGTTGACCTGAAACTAGTGAAGTCCAACATTTCCGCCCACAAATAACTAAAATACCAGTAAACATGAACGTCCTTCAGTTTTCAAACTCCACTGTTGGAGAAAAACAAGCACCCACATACTGCAGCTCCCATCTCACGCTGCTCCCATCTCGGGGTCAGTGACAGTGGCTGTCAGGAAGCATTGCTGAGCTCGGCTGCTCTTTTGGCCAAGAGCTGGTCTCATGAGCACAACGCACCCTGACACCGACTCAGAACAACATACATTACTGCCACCTCTCCTCACACCAGCCTCTCTCGGCAACCATAAAGCCGTTTTTGCCCTTCTTGTAGCGTCCCCAAAAATGTATTTTAAAAAAGCCTCAGCTCTTTGCAAGCAACCCACTTTCTGCTAATGGTGTGTTTTATTCCCACGTACACACGCACGAGTGTTTGTGTGCCCAGCTGCTTGCGTATGCCTCCGATGGCAACGGGTTCATTTCTTTCTCAACACTCMAGTAAGCTTACTCAGCGGAACTAGGTCAGACCAAGTTTTAGAGACGAAATTAATGCAACATGAAACAGAACAATGTGTGTTTGCGTTCTATTTGAGTCGGCGCAGGGGACTGAAGAGACATTCAGGATAGATGGGGGCCCCAAGCAGGAACAATAAGAAACAAAATGTCTGTCGCTGTGATGGAAATGAGTGTTGAGAAGAAGCTCAACGCCTCCAACGTTTCGTTTGCAACTAGGGTTTCTTCATGTGTGGCATGTGGGACAGCTTGAGACTGAGAAAGATGCAATGAGAGTGTTGAGTGGGAGATAGAAAAGGACAGCCATCTTTAAAAAAGTGAGGTTGGCAATGAAAGGAGGGAGTAAAGGAATGCTCTTTCATTAACAAGAAGTTGCCAGTCCTCTGAGCTATAATCAAACTTGTCAACATGCTACACTGCCACTTTATGTAAGGTTCAAGTCCAGTTAATTTACAGTAACAATGCTCCATTCTGTCTGTGATGAAAAGAAGCCTGGTTACTGCAGAAAGAGGAAACTGAAAATCACAACAAGCACATCTTTATGCTGGGAGTATATTGGGCACTAAATTACTCAAATATTTTCAGTTTTCCTTTAGATTTTTGTTGTCCTGTTTCAGTTCTCTCTGTTGGATTACGCCCCACCCACCCCCAAATGATAATTTTCAGAAACTTAATTCAGTATCTCACAGTTTGATTCAATTCTATTCTGAGTTTTGGAGCCACAATTAGATTCGAAATTGTTTTTTGATAAAAAAGAAAAAGGATTCGTTTCATTTGTTTCTGCTTCATTCTCTTTGTGTGCAAAGGATCCTCATGTTTCTTCCATTTTTTGTAGTTTCCTCTTTGTTTTAGTGATTTTCACACGTGTCAGAATTTGTTTTATTTTGAAATCTATTTTAGGACATTTTATATTGATTCTGGATCTTTGTAAATGAAAATTGTGATTATTATATGAACTGATTTTTGGGTCCACCCCTAATGCAATATAGATTTTCTAAGACCTGAATACTTTTTTAAATTTAAAACATGACTGCATACAATGCCTAAATAGTTAGAAGTTTCTTTTTGTCTTAATAGCTCTTTGGAAATGACTTGTGTTTTAACTGAATTCAATAAGAGAAAAATGTAGCCAGAGTAAATTCTGTTACTTTGTTGTAAACAAGGTCTATTCAAAAACAAAATAAAAGCAAAAGAAAAAAGAATGAACTGCATAACATGTCCAAGTGATGCACTTCAAGATAAAATACTGTCTCATCTTTTAGCACCATGGAACACTGARTTTGATCAAACTGCTTTGAATTATTGATTATTAGTGGAGGAAACAGCCATGACCGAAAACTGATACCGACCAGTTTCACTTGCGTTACACTGGAGGTGGTTCAGTGATCCAAATACATGACTTCATATGCAAGCATCTGTTCTCTAACACCAGACACATGTCTACAATACAGAAACAACCAGAGAGCACAACAGCAGCTCAAAGACCAATTCTGTAATAYACCTTTAATTCACAGAATGGGACAGCCTACATACACAGTGGGTTAAAAAGATAACGGGTGTGTGAATAGTGTACAGCAAAGAAAAATAGTACTTTGTATTGTAACATTGTCCATAAAAAATCTATTTGCAATTTAACCCCATCTACACAGTACTCAGTCAGCAAAATGTCTGACTGGGATAAATAGAAATGTCCTGACTTCTACTGGTTTAATCTCTATTTCTTGTAGCATTCATCTCTACCAGCCTCTTCTCTTTTTTATTTTTCTTTTGGTTAGTTTTGTACTTTTTAAAACTGTGACATCGTTCAGCCCTTCGTGCTCTCCTCTCATCCTTTTTTTCCTGTATTTTTTTCTGCTCCTCTTTGCTCACCAGCTCCGTTCAAGGTGTCCTGGAGAGAAACCCTATTCAGAGGAGAAGCTGTAGCAGATGAGTCTGACACTGCTGCTGAATTATTGATTGATCTATTACATCACATACATTTAAGAACCTGAGATATACAGTTACACACAGGTAGATAGAACAAAAAATAAATAAATAAATAACAAGTCAACACAGTTAATTTTATCTTGATAAATACCCATYTTTCTCTTCTTCGGCTTATCACAACCTGAAGTGTAGTTTTGTACATTTTGTCCAAAAGAAAAAGCAAACTAAATATATTTTCCTTTCATATCTGAGTCTCTTACAGAAAAACTGCATCTTTAAATTGCTTCAAGCTASAGAGAGCTGCAGGCAGAAGAACGGGCCCTTTTTCATAATTACAGTAAAAAAAATGGTTGATAGAGGGCAAATCCTCTACAATGTAAAGACCTTCAGTAATCTTGTTTAAAGGAAAAATGCAGTCTGCCTTGGTGAGGCAGACYGAATCTGATTTAAAACAGAGCAAAGATTAAGTGAATAAGTGAAACAAAGCAGCGCACTGAGCATGAGCCAGGAAAACCTGGAAAACTGTGGTGATAGAAGCAAAATGCGATAGAAAAAAAAAGCGTAATTCTAARCAAAAACGAGGTAAATATCTGAAGCAATAAGGAAGCATATAGTACAAAAACATTTAGCATAATAATGATTGCTCTTCTRTTCTGCCCATCATCCCCTTCTTTATGCATCTAGCAGTGAACCCCTCCCCTCTCCTGCAGCCCTCCCTTTATACCCATAATGCTCTTGTCCTGGATGCATAATACAGAATTTATCATCCATCCACCTGCTGGGCCTTTATATATTCTCTGGCATAAGTCTGTCTGAAACTAGCCTATGTCTTTGTACTTTCTTAGGGTGATTGTGTCGGCTGTTATAATGACCTCAGGCAACCATTTCAGTCGAGCATAATGCCCCTGAAGGCTCATCTCAGTTTTGTTTCCAAACAATGCAGCAACAAATAAAGCAGCACACACCCAGCTGAACACTGAAAAGGTGCACATGAAGATATGGACCAAAGCAGCAAAACCTACAGTCATTGCCTAACATCAAACTTAAAACAAGACAAAACAAGCATCACCTTAGCAAACACTGAGCTCTTCCATAAACATAAAAAACATGGGGGAATGGGTAGTTTGGAATGACACAGTGCGTGCACTTATTGCAAACCATAGCAGCACATTCGCTATGACCACTAACACATCCATTAACTTTTGTCAACTTCATTTTACAATTTTAGCCAAATGCATAATCTGCTCGAACCTTTTTGGTTTTTCTGCTTATTAGCTTTACATTGACTTATGATGATTAGCTTATTTTTTGTCATTTAAACAGCCTATACCAAACTTTTTTTATATCAAATACGACTAAGGGTAGGGATGAGACATAAAATCTATTTTAGATTAAACACATAGCACACATGGAAGATTATAAATCTATTTCCAAACATTAATTTTTGTGTAACTTGTATTTTTCCTCTGCATTACTTCTGTAAAATAAATTTGTGTACAACCTTCCTGTGATACGTCCTGATGCATCTCAGTAATCCAGGTAAAAAATCAAAAAGAAAAAAATTGTATAGGTCTTCTGGACGGGTTCTTCTCTTATGAAACGTTTCGTCTCTCCTCCAAGAGACTTCTTCAGTCTGAGAGTTTCAGGCAAAATTCAGGCTTTTAAGCCCTGCCTCCATGTGACTGATACTCACATCACATGGCTATCGTTGACACCTAATTAACACTTATTGTTAACAGGAGTTGGAGTGATACTGGCAATGGCCCCGCTGTAGGAGGGGGACAACTGAAAACGGAGGCCTCCACCTCTGTTTAATGATGGACGGTCTTTCTTCACAAAAATGGCTTCTTTTACTCCTCTCTCAAACCAACGTTCCTCTCTAGCAAGAATGAGTACATCCTCATCTCTGAAAGAGTGACCGCTGGCCTGTAAATGAGTAAAAACTGCAGAGTTCTGGCCATTAGATGTAGCTCGTCTGTGTTGGGACATTCTTTTGAACAGTGGCTGCTTTGTTTCCCCGATTCCTGTGATACACACAATGCTAATAACATTAACTTTTCTGTTTTCAATAAGTCAGAATCTATGCTAATTCTCTGTCAATAGCAGAAGTTTTTTTTTTTTTTTTACATGATATTGGTTTACTCTTTATTGTTCATGGGCATACATGATATAATGATTATTTATGTAAATTAAGCCATCACCTAAAAAAAATTACATTTAAAGTGTAATTAACCCCCCCCCCCCCCATGAATGCATAACCCCACCCCCAGGAAAATTTGATAAAATGCCAAAAAAGTGGGCGGTGCCAAGAAAGACTGAGGGGCACGGCCGAGTATGGCGATGAGTGAGAAGGTGTGGTCAGAACAAGGGAACGTGACAGCGAGCTTAATCTGACGAGCTAGCATTTCTGAAAACAGACCTAGTGTGGTCCACATGCATAAAATGTGCTGAAAACAGCCTTTATTGAACTTTCACAAATCAGATAAAGGTTTCACAAATCACAAACTTGGTTTTAAATATTCTGCTATAAGTGTACAATAATCCAGTACAGGTTTGACATAGCTAACAAATTAAGTTTTTAAATTAGAGCAGATTAAACATGCTCAAGGTAGTGAAAAATTAGGTGGAATTGCCCTTTAGCCATTTCCTGAATTAGAACCTTCAGCATCGTATGGCAATCGCCCCACTGGCAGGAATAAACATGATTTATGGTAAATGGTCTGATCTTATTTAGCACTTTATCCAGCCCACTTGCAAAGCATACACACATTCACACACTAGTGGGAAACTACATTGTAGCCACAGCTGCCCTGGGGTACACTGACAAAGGCAGGGCTGCCATGCACTGGCCCCACTGGACCCTCTGACTCCACCACAGCCACCCCAGCTATTATTACAGGGGAAATATTGAAGATGACGTGGAACAGCAGCTATATAGTTAGTTTAATAAAAATATTGCACCATAACGAAGTTTTCAAAAATAAGTAAATTCAGTTTGTTTTTGATACGAGCCAKATGTCCATGGGCTAATGTTCAAAACAGTAACAACCTTTCATCGTAGTGTTTCCTGTTCCAACCCCTGATGCGTTGCAGGGCGTGTCTCTGAGTGAAGCTTTCACACCTGAAGTGGAGCTGTGACATAAGCATGTTCTGTTTTAACCAATAGGAAAATTCAACAACAGTATACCTACCTATAGAGGGTGGAACTAAGATGTTTTAGACAAAATATTACAGGATGTCCAAATTAGCACAGAAGTATAAAGATATAACCCTTAAGGCACAATTGAGACAGTTGACTGGGGAAAAAAAATWTTTAATTTTGGGTGTAGTTACTCTTTAAAATGCAATAATTGATTTTAACTGCATAGAATAGCAACTTTTAAACCTCTCCAGGTTCTGCAAAGCGCTTTAAAAATTTTGTCACTCACCATTCATACAGTGCTTTCATTTTTATGTATATTTTTACACAATACATTGTATACAGCACTTTTTTTCTATTTCTCACTCCTACTAAGTTTGGCATGCTCCATGGACTAGCCTTAAACCTCTGACCAGAAGGCAAACACCCAACTAATTGGGCCATGACTTGACCCAGTGGGTAAGCATCACCCTTAATAAAGAGATCCTGAGCACCACCAGTGGTTCTTGTACCACAGTTTAAGCACCATTCGCCTAGCATGCTTATGCACTGATCTAAATATACACACAACCATTCTGAGTACTGACCAGTGATGCACGACGAAGCCGGCGGCTCATGGGTTTGTCAAAGGGCGGGCTGTTCATGGCAAACTTTTCCAAGTAGCCCTCCGGTAGTCTGATGTCAGCTGGGAGAGACAAACGTTTGTTTATGTCCTGAGAAAAACAAAAAGGGACACAAAAAAAGAGTCAATGAGTTCATAAAYTTAAAAACACACCATAACAAAAGCAAAACAACACACATCAATTGTAAGTGAAAAAAAAGTACTGTGAAAGCTGTACTTCCTCTGTCCGCTGAGGAAGTTTAACGTCACGCAAAAGATCCTAATTCAATTTAACTTGGCTGTCATTGAGTCAGTGCTATCCACCTCAATAACTGGCCGGTTTGGTTCAGCGACTAAACTGGACGTTAGGAAGCTGCAGGCAACAGTGTGGATTGTTGGGAGAATCACCACTGACTCCCATCCAGGGTTTTGTTTCATCCTTAACCATAAAAAGAGCAGCAAAAATCCCAGACTTCTCACACCTAGGACCTGAACTTTTTGAGCCTTTGATCAATAACAGTGTTTCCCTGGAATCTATTGACCTTTTGAACATGCAAGTTCCAGCAACATTAGTCATTGTGCAAATAAAGTCGATTTCTTTCTTTTTTTTTTTTTTTTTTTTTTCAACAAAGCTGTACCGTGGTTAGATGCAGTTTATTATTATTATTATTATTATTATTATTTTACTAAAGAACTTTGTGATCTCTTTGGATACAATTAATGTAACGTTTGCCCCTAGTTGACCACGTTTTTAGAAATTGTAAGAAGCAAACATCCAGCCACTTTTGAGACATTTGTGACAAGTTCTTGCACGCAACAAATAAAACATCGTCTCAAGTCACACAATGAATGACCTCTTTTTACGGCTCCCACAACAGATGTTCACATGGCTACAATATGCTGATCGCACTTTGTTTTTTATGGCAGCTGTGGCCCTGTGAGTGTTTGATACACGCATGTAAAATATAATGCAAATGTATTTTATTTGATCTGAGTGCACAAGGAAACGTAATAGTAAGCAGTATCGCATAAAAAGTATACCCTTTAGTACAGCTATGCCGGATATTTAGAATACACCTACGCGATAAAAATATAAAGCAATGCTGTGCACAACGAATTAGCACATGTTCAAAATCAAACGTAACCTAAATTAAATGAGCTACAGGCTGTGCAATAAGTATCTGCTTAAGAATAGTAAACAAAAATCTTAATAACAATGTGAATGTCTTCAGATGTCCGTACTATTTACAGAAAGGGGGTAAGGGCGGTCACAAGTTCACAAACACACTGACGCTCGCTTCCTCCTACTCACTGCTAAAGATTAAAAAAGCCCCCCCACACACACACGAGCACACGTGTGTGCCCCCATACTCACAATGCAGAGCAGCTCTAGTAGCTCCCTCATTGTCCTCCTTAAACGTTGTTTTTCAGTGCCCTCACACACATGCGCTCTCAACATTGTATGTCCCTGACCTGATACATGACTGCACACGCAGTCAGGGAGAGAGAAAGAGAGAGGGCTGGCACTGTGGGAGAGTGCCATCCGTGAACTCAAAGAGGAGGAGGAGGAAAAAAATAAAAAAACAGAGGAGGTGGGGGGGGGGGGGGGGGGGGGGGGTTGGGAGCGCGAGGAGAGGGGAATAGGCTGATTCCTGCGGGGGGGGAAAGCCAGATGGGGGGAAGGGGTGAATGGATGGGGGTGATAGTGATGGGAGAGAAGAACTTTGCTTTCATCTCGTTTCCTACCATCGCTTTGCCCTTCAGCTCTCCGTCATCATCCTCTTCCCATCTTTCTCTGCAGCTTTATTCCTCCGCCTGTCTCTGCCACAGCAGGAATTATTCCCACATTCATAATTACTCTGTCACCCMAGCATGTTTCTCTCCCACACTGCCCCTCTGTCCCCTTCTCGTTCTCGCCACGCGATAAACATGGTCTAAATTAGTCCTTTCCACTGCTCACAGCAGTCAGACGCTGTGTGTCCAGAGGCATTTCCAGTAATACTGCTGTGCTCATCACTCTGCAATTCCTTTCGAAAAATACGACAGTCCGACTGAGACTTGATCACATATTCGGGTTTGTGTTACACCGAAAACTAAACAAAGCCATCATCTCTAGCAGTGTGCTGATGGCAAAGGTGCCTATAGGCTGTTAAATCTGCTACTTAAACATCAGCAACAAAACCAAACCTTGTCTACGAGCTAATTCATTCCATGAGTTTTCACAATGCACTGCTCAAAACTTTTAACAACACGGTTTTGTTAGTTTCCATCAAAACAATGGTTTCTGGCTGCTCTAATACCGGACAGCAGTGTTACCACAGAGATGTAATATGCCAATTAATATCATGTAAATTCAAGTTGTTACAAGAACAGAAATTGCTCTGCATAGTTTGCTTGTCGTGGTTGGTTGCATTCCTTTAAACTATGCTGTCATTGTTCTAAAACCTCTGGCTTGATGATACAGAGAGAGTATCTGATGATATTGGTTCTTGGTGTTGCCGGTGCAATGCAATGGTACCAACAGCAAATGGAAATGTCATTTTGGTGTTTATTGGTAAGAACAGCATGATTTTCACATAGGATTGTTGTAAGAGTGTGGAGGAAGATCAGAAAAAAATCCACATAAGGCCTGGGACAGCTATCATTCTTCTTTATTTGCTAATTAAATGTAACTTGTYTTTTTTATTTACTGTATAGTTTGATTTTGTTTGGGCAGGACACATTTTTAGTCGTAGCACTAAATCTACTTACTGTAGTTAAATTTAGGAATTCATATTACTTGGCACAAAAATAGCTGATGCATTGCAAATGGCTGCAATGAGACCAGACAGATTAGTGGTATATTCACCATTTTAGTGGGACCCTACCGGCTACCAATTTAACAGCAACAAAAAAAGCTTATAAACTGCAAAAACCAGCCTAATCCATCTGAAATCGAATACACTTTATTGCTTTCTTCATAAAATTTATTTTATAGTACAAGTTCCTGGAGAGGTTTTCCCACCGGCTTTGGCATCACTCTTAAATTTAATGAAAGATGTTTTCAAAAATGTTTTCCTAGAGACTTTTTTTCTGAGAGTAGTACGTCTGGTGTAAAAACATGTCAGTTCCCGGTACCTCGTTAGATATGCGTCGATGGTGGTTGTTCCTCATGCGGACCCTCACGGGACTCTGGACCTCATCAGAAGACGTACCAGAAGCTTGATCACTTTCCCCATCTGAACCCATTTTCACATTTTCATGGACAATACCTGTGAAACAGACACAAGGAAACAAAAGAATTAGATAGTACACATTTTGACAAAGTAGTAGTTAAAATAACTAACCAAATAATTTGTTTTCTTTTAAAGTCAGATTTAAAAAAAGTAATGCATTAATTGAAACCAATTATTTTATTTGTTCATTTTACTATGAAATCAGTCATCATCCCATTTCAAATAGCAAATAGGTGCTCAAAAGATGCAAATTAGTTTATCCCCCAAAATGTTTTTTACTCTCTGTTAGAACCAGAGTAAGGTCTCAATTTCCCAAATGATGGATTGTGTCACCAGTAATGGAAGGGGTGTTAACCAAGTGTGTATAAAATGCCACTGGTAAGCCGAGGAGGTCAGAGATCAATATACCACATGCAACGAGAGCTTCCTCGTCTCTACCCACCCCACCCCACCACCCACACACACACACACCTCCATCCATCCCAGAATCCATCTGATTAATGAGTCACGGTACGACAGACAGGACTGCCTACATGCTGTGTGTGTGTTTGAGTAAAAGGAGGGGGAAGGGTGAAATGGTTCATCTCTGGTCTTTCAGCTCCCTATCAGCTCTGAGTCTGGGTTACAGAACATACAGTGCATGCTTGAAGCTCAGTGTAGATGTTTGATCAAAGAAATGTCTTCAAGAAAAGAGTCCAACATAGGCTTAAACTACACCACAATGGCATGAACTCTACTGTTTAATTTACAACAGCTTCCTTGTTGCAGACAAGAAACTGGTTGAAAACATTTATAGGTCATATAGAAGATATCTGGAAGAAGTGATTAGATAGAAAGAAAAACTACTTCCTTGAGCGATTCAGAAACCTGTAATATACAAATTACAGGTCAGATAAGAAAAGTCATTTGTTAAGGTGTGTTGTGTGTCAGCTGCAAAGAGACTAGGACCCAATCTGGGTCATTTGTTTGTATTTTTCTTTCGTAATAACGGATAGGATATGAGAAGATAGGCCACATGCTTTGTATTAGGGTGAAAATAAAACATGGAGCAAAATACATTTAAATTATTTAGTTTTTGTAATGTTTTTAGAATGTGTTTAGAACACTGTTGGTGCAAATATATCTTTTTACTAAAATAATTATAAGAAATAAGACTTACCGTGTTTCTTTAAATTATGGAAAAACTTGAAATTGTATTTGTAAAAGTCCAAAAGTTACCAATATCTGTCTGTCTATCTCACACCATAGTTTTAGGAAAGAAACATAAGTAACATATGAAAGAAAATAAACTAAAATGAAAACATCCTTTATTTTTATTCAGAAAGTCTTAAAT